GAAAGGATCAGGACTCAAGGAAAGTTTTAAGTCTCACTATTTAATAATAAAGTCAAGTCTATCGAAAGTGTGACAGTACATCATAGATGAGCACAGTGAGTTTTATTTGTTTTATATGTAACAGCAGCTTATCTCCACCCAAGCCCACAGATATTCTCTGTACTGAAACTGGCTCAGAATTGCACCATGCATGGGAGTGCATCTGTGGGGCACGTAGTACACATCAGGGCCCATGAGACAGGGCTCCTTTCATCTGCCCAGATATACTCCAGCCCCAACGGAAGAATTCTGATTGATCTAAATCGGTCATGGCAATACCATTCTATTTTGCCAGAGCTTTACCAAGGGTCAGCATATGTCCCAGGCTGGCTGCCTCTGCCCTGCCCTTCCTACTAGCATGAGGATGCAATGCTTAAAGGAGTAGCAATCCTCTTGCAACTGCAAGACTAGGCACAAGGACACAGGGAAAACACAGATCAGAAAGAGAAGAATTCTAAAAGATGCCACCGGGCTCCCACAACTGCCTCCCTCCAGGCTCTGGGTAGAAGAGATAACTAAATATTGTTAATGCTTAAACCACTGTTACTTGCAGTCAATTGCATATGCAAATTGGTGCAATCTCTAAGGAATACAACTTGGCAACATATTTCTATTTTGAATGTGTACACCCTTTGACTCAGTAATTCTACTTATCAGAATTTTTCCCACAAATATACTCTCACAGTGCAGAAATAAGTACATTTAATATATTAATTATAATATTATGTGTGTAACACTATGGGTAGATAGACTATGGTGCATTCATAAAATGGATTACGCACTGCTTTAAAAGAACATGCACAGGCCCATGTATAGTAGCAAATTATGTCCTAGATATATATTAAGGGAAAGAAATAAGATTAATAATGATTAAAGTTGAATGGCAAGTACATAGAGGTTTGGTTTTTGGTTTTTTGTTTTTTTTTTTGCGGGACCGGGGATTGAACTCAGGCCCTTGAGCTTGCCAGGCAAGCACTTATTCTACTGAGCCATCTCCCCAGCCCAGTACATAGAGATTTACCATGACATTTTTTCTTATAAATACATGGTAGAGATTTCAAATTTTCAAAAATGAAAAAAATTTGAAGAGAAAGGGTATGAATTGTGACAAGATTAATGTGACATCATTTTTTTTTTTTTTGTACCAGGGATTGAACTCAGGATCTTGCATTTGCCAGGCAGGCATTTATGGCACTGAGCTATATCCCTGGCCCAATGCAACATCATTTGTAAATAGGTAGTTTTTAAAGAAAATGCATATATTAAGAATAAAGGAAGATATCAAGATGATATGTATATGTATCATACTCCATGCAAATACATTCACTATGTATTTCTTTCGTTTTTTATGTATTTGGTACAGGGTCTCACTATGCAGCTGGGACTCATAGTGATCCTCCTGTCTCAGCCTCCCCAGCACTGGGATTACAGGCTTGTGCCACCATGCCTGGCCTTCATTACATATTTTAAATCAATGCTGACAAATAAACATTTTTTTTATTTTTTTTTAATTTTTATTTATTTGAGAGAGAGAGAGAGAGAGAGAGAGTGTGGTGTGTGGGTGTGGCCAGCTCAACCCACCAGGGGGCGGGGCTGGCTGGCATGTGGTGCTGGGGGATTGAACCGCGGTCCCTGATGCTTTGCCAAGCTTGTTCTAAGTAGGTGCCTTAGACCACTGAGCCATCTCTCCAGCCCCATAAACATTTTTAAAGAATAAAAGGAAATGGGTTATAACCAGTAATGTCAAAACCTGGTTCAAATCTTACCTCCTCTACGAAGTCTTTCCCTCAATTATGTGCATATGTTGATTATAGAATTTGGTAAACTTGGGCTGGTGAGATGGCTCAGTGGTCTAAGGCACCTACTTAGAACAAGCTGCGGTTCAATTCCCCAGCACCACATGCCAGCTGGCCCCGCCTCCTGGTGGGCTGAGCTGGCCACACACACACACACACACACACACACACACACACGAATTTGGTAAACTTTTAGACATATGAATACCACTTGTCTACATTTAATGTTAAGTAGAGGTGAGGACTATGGCTTGTGCACAATAAATGATCCCAACTGTCGAATGAATAATGTATTTCAACATTTTACTTTTAATAAATAGCTTATTCAGCAATTTAAGTGACTTACTTGAAATAAAACAGCAATTTTTTAAAAAAAAGAATATCCCTGGCAGCACGTGACAAAGACCATGAATAACAATCACTTATAAGGATAGAAGGAACCCAGGGGAGACTGAGACTTCATATCTCTTTATAGCTTTGAAATTTGGTTTAGCCCTTAGTTTAGCCCTATCAACTAAGGCTTTTTTTTTTTTTTTTTTTTAATCTAGGACTCAAACTCAGGACCTTGTGTTTGCCAGGGAGGTACTTATGCTGCTGAGCTATATCCCCCAAAAGTACTTATTTTTAAAGTAAAATAGTATTTTAAAAAATCAACCAAATGCAAAAACATAGTTGATAGAGAGAAAGCCCGTATCTTCACATTATGATCTCAAGTACTGCGTTCAGACAAGAGCCCTACATGTCCCTATTAACCTCCTAAGCTCTAGCCTCCCTCAGGCTGCCAAACCCTACAAATATGCTGTCTTTCCTTAGAGCACGGATACAAAGATGTTGAGGATAAGAAGCAGCTTGTTTATGCACAAATACTATAGCCCATAGATAAAAGTAAACAACAAAATCCACCATTGCCGTGGAATGTCAAAAATTTCTCCTTAAAAAAAAATCCCAGGGCCAGAGGGATAGCTGTGTGGGAGAACACACACATAGCATATGCAAGACCCTGGGTTCAATCTCTAGCACAATAAAATAAATAAATAAATATTTATTAAGAGCAAAACAACCAGGTTCAAACTGAACAACTAGTAAGACATTTCTGAGACGTGGGGAAACTGGATAAGACTAGTTCTTCTGTGATGCTAAGGAATTGCTATTGTATGATAATGGACTGGTAGTTATATAAAAATTCTTATTGTTCAGGAAGTACTAAAATATTTCAGAGTGGAAGTCATGTTTGCAATTTTGAAATGCTTTTGCCAAAAATAAATAGATAAATAAATCAGCAGATGCAGAAAAGAATTGCTTTGTGTGGGTGAGAGGTATATTCATTATTCTATTGTTTACTTTTCTGTATGTTTGATATTTGCATCTAAAATGTTTTTTAAATGAACAGGTCTATGATATGGGTGGGCTGTCATCATGAAAAAAACAGACCCCCTGGCTCCTTGGGGAGCAGGTCTCCATTAGGAAGTCTCAGTGGCAATGATAGCTGCCTGCAGACCCATGAGTCTCCTTTTCTGCAACCTTTCACATTGTCATCACTGCGCATGTGTTTTCCCAAGTTCTCCGGCTCTCTCTTCACTGTAGCCTGGTGCATGATCTAACACATGTCTAAAATGAGCTCTGTGGCGTGCAGTAGCAGCAAACTATCCCTAGCATATCTGCATGTGTTTGGCCCAGTGGTGGTAAGAGGGCATCAAAAGTGATGGCCTGACTCCTATTCTCCACATACAACCAGGGGATGGAGTAGGACCCTGACCCAGCCAGGGGCCGGGGGCTCTGCCGAAAAAGTAACCAGGACAGGCATCCATGATGATGGAGAGAAATGGGGAGAAATGGGGAACTCAGCCTGGGGGTGGGATGGAGGCGCCATACGCACCCCTGCTGAGAGACAGCCAGGACCAAAGGCCGGAGGAGCCTCTGCAAACGGGCATGTGTGCCCCCCATCAGGTGTTGGCAAACTTCATCTCTAAGGGGCCAGATGGCAAATATTTGAGGTTTTGCAGGCCAAAAGGCACAACCAGGAATATTTTGTGAGGGCTTATACACAAAACTTTTTGTCCAAGTTTTGGACAAAATTCAAAGCTTTGTTTGTAGACACTGAAATGTAAATTTCCTGTAATTTTCACAAGTCTGGATTGTTATTCTCTCTTTGGTCCCTGCCTCCAGCCAAATCATTTAAGTGTGTAAAGCCCACTTCCAGCCCATGACTTCACTTGGTGCTCTCTGCAGCCTCCCACCTAGCATGATCACTGGCTTGCATGTATAACTTCTCTCAGCCGGGACCAGAGTGGGACTGACACAGTTGTTGGTACCCATGATGCTGGCCCATCTCTTCTACCAGCAGGCAGGGCTTTGTATGGGACATCACTTACACTCCCTGCAGCTGTCTCCTCGCAATGGAAACCCAAGGAGACAGCCACTCCACTCACAGATTAAGGTGAAGAAAACATCACCACGTGCAGACATCCTCCTCTGTACAAAGGAAATCCCAGGCCGAGGATGAAGCCAGGTAGCAGCACATCAGGGTGCCCAAGGACCATGGCCCTTGGAGCCAGACACCTGACACCTACAGAGACGCTTATCTCCAGGTTGCCAAGAGGTGACCTCCCGCCCTGAACCTATTTCTAGAGCAGGAATGGGGTGAGATCAGCACTCTCTCCACTGATGGCAGGTGGGGGTGGTGGGCTCACAATGGCCAGTCCCTCTGATCCAGTCGTCCCTGGCCGCAGGACCTCAGGGGTGAGCCGGGGAACAGCAGCCCTCAGCCCCAGCTCACGCCTCCGCCTCGTAGCACCGGCCGCCTTGGCTGCTCCTCCGCGGAGACCAACAGGGACACTGTCTTGGCCCCCAGATTGCTCCGCAGAGCCATCCAGCCCTGGCAGGGCCACTCTGCCCTGAAGTGCACGGTCCCCAGAGACTGATGGTCCGGCGGGACCTCGAGGATTTCTCATTCTTGCCAATTGCCCCCAAACGTTTGGGACACACCCGAGAGCGCGCGTGACTCCTGGCACGGAGCCGCACTAGGCACCGGGTCCCTCATCCGCAGCAGCCTGCCCAGCCTCGGGTGCTGCGCCGGGACCTGCCCCGCAGTTGCGCAAGTTGTGCTGCGGAGCTATAAGAGGGGCTGGCCGGCATGGAGCTCCGGAGGGATCCCGGTACCAGCAACTGTGAGGTAAGGCCGGGTGCACCTCTATTGCCTTTACTGGTTTTTGCCGGCAGGTCATAGCATCCCACCCCAATTCTGTACCCCTGGGAAACTGAGGCAGGTGGGAAGCAGGGCGAATGACTTGTTTCTGGACTATGCAGCTTTACAGAGTTTTAGCCAGAGAGAAGGCAGGTGGAAGTTGGTTGAGAACTTGGCAGGTGGATTTGAGGTGGGGTGTGCAGGGCAGGAGTTTGTCCTTCCAGAGCCAACCAGGGCCCCAGAAGAATCGTTTGCAGTGCTGAAATGCTTTAAGGGAACAAAGTTGAGAGTGTCCAGGACACAGCTGGACAGTGTTCGGTTTCTGAGGCTAGACAGCCTTGTGCTGCAGGGAAGGGCTCCAGGCCTCCTTTTGCTGTGAGGGTCCTGGCCTCCTCATAAAAGGGGCTGCAGGAGGTGCAGGCCTAGGACTGGGTCTGTGGCATGGGGGCAGGCAGGAAGATCCCAAATCCCCCAGACCCTCTGGGCCAGGTCTCCACATCTGGCCTCAAAGCCATGCAGGTTGCCTTCTTCACATTAGACACAACTAGGTGTCTGGGGACTAGAAGAATAGGCTGTAAGAAAGGCCCACAGCCTGCAAGTTTTCACTCATGCAATTTCTAGCCAAATCCACACTGCTGGCAAGTAGCTGTGGGGGAAACCACCCAGCCTTTCTTCTTTTGGGGCTGGGTGTAGCCTTCGTTGTAGGTGTGGATGCCTTTACACCACTGTTTCTATGGCTTAGGAGATGGTGGCACTTTGGCAGAGTGACTCCTTTAATATAGTGAGCTGCTCTGGAGGGGGGCAGATGGTTCATTGGAAAGATGGTCTCTGGGGGAGGTGGTCAGAAACTAGGACTTGCTACTGTCCTGGAAGCACAAGGTCTGTGAGCGCCCTTGGCAGGGTAGGACTTGCCCCTGGTGGCTCCAACTGTGTCTATTCTGTGTCTGTTGCAAGCTGGGACTGGGAGAGGGTTCCCAGCATCTCCTATCAGAATGGTCTGTGGAACCAAACTCCAAAGGAAAGAAGTTTCTAGTAACTTGGTAGCTCCTATCTGATGCCCTTAGGAACAGTAAGACCATACTAATTGTTCATCTCATTTAGGCAGAGAGATAAAAGCTAAGAGGAAAAAATGGATGCTCTTTTGTTCTTTCCTTTCTCAAGTAACTGAGGACAGTGAGCTGAGAGGAACATTTCCATGTTGGCCAGAGTATCTTTCTCATATTTTATGTATCTTATACTCAAAATAACTCTTCTTGGTATCTGGGGAAAATATATCCCTCCCCCTCTATTCCAGGAAATTGCTCCAAGTGCCAAGGACAGAGCCAAGGAAGTTGCAATGAATTCCTGCCCGTTGGCCCAGGCAGATGCCTCACATGTCTGAGTGGCCTGTGCAGGGTGCCAGCCCCCCCCCCCCCAAGTGGGAGAGCTCTCCTTCCAGAGCCTGGGGCATTGTCTCACAATGCTCTCCCCTCCCCCGCCAATGCCCCTTGAGGAGCGTAGGAGCTGTGGGGAGAAAGGAGGCTCCAGTGAATTGGAGCGTCCTCCTGCCACACGCATCCCTGAGCAGCTGTGGGACTGAAGGGCAAATCAAGCCAAATCATCTGGCATTGCATCAATCAGTAGAGCCCAGTCTCACAAGGCAGAAGTTGGGGGAGATTCCAGCAGCTTCAACTTCATTCTGGCTCCTTGGCAAAGAGCCTTGAAGAAGTTCTTCTCTGTTTACATTGCTGTCTCTGAGACACAGACAGGTTGGTTTTGCTTTAAAACTGCACAGCTGGTGCCCAGGCCCACAGACATCCTTGCCCACATAGCAGATGTGTGTTGAGCCTTGAAACTGCATGCCATCGCCATGCCTGCTCATTTTGCTTGCTCTCTGGAACTGAATCTGTAACCAGGGTCCACGCTTACATTTCAGCCAAGCTGTGGATTTAGTCCCCATCTATATGTATGCTGTGTTCTGCTCTGGGCTGTCGGGGACACATCAGAGAAGAAGGGGGCAGAGCACAAGTCTCTGGCAAGGACAGGGGCCAGGCCCAGAGGGCAGGATCAGGTGCCAGGCTCGTGAATGGGTCCAGGGTAGGAACACCAGGGGCAGCAATCCAGGTAGAGTAGAACTCTGGAGACTGAAAGTAATTTGAGCCCACATAGATGCTGGAGGACATGTAGGTGGTGCAGAAAACTGAACAAGGCTGGGTGTGGTGCACACACCGGGAATCCCATCACTGAGGAGGCTGAGGTGGGAGGATTGCCACAAATATGAAACTAGCCTGGGCTACATAGTGAGTTCAAGGATAGCCTGGACTACAGAGTGAGACCATTTCAAAAGAGAGACAGACAGACAGACAGACAGACAGACAGACAGACAGACAGACAGACCAAAGACCAACATAAAGGAGACCTGGACCCCAAAGAGGTGTCTGTCTCTTCACTGAGCCAGCTTCCTGGCATTTCTGCCAGGCAAAATTGAATTTAAAATTCAACTTTCAGATGGGAGCAGGTGAGGTGCTATAAAGGCAGGTTAACTTGGTTAGTAATGAAGATCAGGGATAGGAAACGTTTCACCTATTCATTCAACAAATATTTAGCAAACACCTGCTCCATGCCAGGCCCTTGGTAGATGCTAGAACAAGTGCAGAGTCACTAATTGAGCCTGGCACCCTCTCCCTCTGAGTCTGGCCAGAGCTCCAGGTTCACCTCCTGTGGCGCTCCAGGGAGCCATTAAAAATTGATCAGAGTTGACACAAGAGTTGAAACCTATTTGCTACCCCTGCTGGAATCAGATCTCAAGGTAGTTTGGGATGAACAGGAAGAATAGAATCCCTACTTCCACACTCTGTCTATCAGTTAGGCATGTTAACATGATTTGTCAAATAGGGCTTTTGGTTGCAAAGGAAAGTAAATTGTTTCTGCCAACTCAGTGAGTCTAATTATATATTGTGACCAACATTTGAAAAATGAACAGAAACTCTTAAATGTATCATGAGTAGTAAGGGTGAATTTCAGTGAAAAATATTCAAAAAGATGGAAATGTCTCAAGTCTATTAGTTTGTTTTCATTGCTATAACAAAGTTCCTAAGGCTATATAACTTTTTAAAGAAAAGAGGTCTCTGCTTCTTTGAGGCCAACTTAATCTAAAGTCCTCCAGTTCCATCCATGTTATTGAAAATAACAGCATTTCATTCTTTTATGAGTAAACAATATTCCATGATATAGGTAGTCTACAGAAAAGCTAGCGAGGAAGATAGCTGGATACGAGAGACAGGAAAGATATGAAGGAGATGCGGAGTGGAACTGCATCCGGGCAGTAGCGAGCTCAGCCCACCCTGGCAGCAACCCCCTGGTCCTCTGCCCCCCTGGGCATGGCCTCTCTCTTCTCCGCTCCTTGCTTCAATAGTCCCTAGAGGATGGGAAAGGGACAGCGGTGCTGCATCAACATTTCAGTCCTTCATCTTGGCTCTTACAGCTCCTCCATGCTCCAAGGCCCTCTTTCCCAGACCTCTCCATGTGCTTCTCTCCATGTCTGTCTACATTCTGGCCACCAGGGGAAAAACCTGGGTGTCTCAGTTCTGTAGCTGGGCATACCACCCCCTGCCTTGCTCTCAGAGCCTCGCCATCCCAAGCCACCCCTCGCCCTTGTCACTCTCCAGGCAGCCAGAAGCCACTGTTTTCTAAACCCACCTGAGTCCTTGGGCCTCTGCTAGGGCTGCTCCTCTCTTCTCCCTTCACAGTGCATCCTCGGTACCTTACCAAATCTCATCTTCTCCATCCAGTTTCTTCTAGAACCCATGGTAATGGCAGCTAACATATATTGGGCTAGAGGTGGCACTTGACATGCCAGGCTACATGCCAGGCAGAACTGGCACTGGACAAGCACCAGCTCAGTTCAGTCATATGACAGCAACAGTGGGAATTATGATCCGTATTACCCTGTTGTATAGCTAAGGAAACTGAGTCTCAGAAGTACACAAACTTCTTTAGTACAGGTCTTTTTTAGTATATGTTTGCTGTATGTAATGTTTACATGGCTTGCATGGAGATAGCATATATACCTAACACGTCTTAATTCCATTGTATATCCTTCCCCTACTCCCTTCCCCTCCTTCTTCCCCTTCCCTCCATCTCTTGATCCCCTTCCCCTTTGAGAAACACCTCTCTCCCCATTTCCTATTATCTTTTATTTTGCTTTTTATTCATCATTTGGATTTATCATATAAGAGAAATCATATGATATTTAAGCTTGTGTGTAACTGATTTATTTCACTTAAGATTATACTCTTCCCAGGTTTTGAAGTCAAACAGTGTTCTGCTGGACTCCAGGCTTCATAAATTGTAGAATAATAACTTCCTTTCCTGAATTACCCAAAGCCTCTCATCTATTTACGTATTCATCTTGTGCTGAAATTAATTATGCAAATTCTTAAGCCAGAAGAACACTGTTTTGTTCTTTAATTTTTAATAAATAATATATGTAAGTAGTTAGCAAAATTAGTGTAATACACTACCTACGCTTCCGGGGAGGCCTTCAGCCTGTGGCTCATCCCTCCCCACCGCAGCTCTCTCCCCACTCTCGTGAGGTCAGTGTTTTCATCTCTGTGCCTGGCCCATAGTGGGCTTTCCATAGATGTGAGCTGCCAACCATCACATTCATCTTGAGCAGCTACTGCTGGCCAGGCACTGTGACGAGTGAAGCTGTATTTGCTGTCTTGAAACATCCGTCCTCTCCCTTGTCCCTGCACCTCCCAGCCACTCTCTCCTCCTCCTCGGGCCATGGCCAGGCCCGACACGGGTACTGAGACGTAGGGGACTTGCCCATTCTTTTCTGATGATGCCCACGTTGGGGTGCTTAGTCAGTCAGCATTAACTTTGGCTGCATGCAGCTGGGACCCAGCAGAATGGTGTCTTAAACAAGGCAGAGCTTACAGCTCTCACATACAGAAAGCACAAAGCCAGAGCCAGGCTGTCAAAGCAAAGATGGCACCTCAGCTCCACAGAGGCCGCAGGCGCTAAGATGCCTGCCACATCCTATCTGCCATTCACAAGGGAGGCCTTTGTCCTCAGGGTCAAGATGGCGCTAGAATGCTAGCTGGCACCTCTGTGCTGCAGGCACTAGAATGGAGGGAAGGATGAAGAAGCGAGGGACAGAGATGCATACTGAGGACCTGAGAGCTGTCTCACAGTGCTTCAGCTTTTATTTAATTGCCTAGGATTTGGTTGTATGGCCACACCTACTGGGAGAAGCTGGGGTGTATCAGATTTGTTCTGGACAGCCACACACAACTGAGTTTCCACAAGGGGTAAGAAGGAAACATCAGACCCTGGGGACAATCAGCAGCCTCCACTGCAAGGCTGATATGTACTAATGTGTGTGCGTGCATATGTGTATATGCGTGTGTGTGCATGTGATGTGCTGTGTTGCCCTTGCTTTGACATCAGGTGGACCTGTTGCCATTTCTCTCTGCAGCCCCAGTGGGTGAGCCTGGCCTCTCCTGCTAGCTGAGTTAGTCAGTGACTGCTTTTCAATTCCACGCTTTCAAGGAACTGTAATTTATTTTCAGCATCCGCTGAAGCATATGATCAGTAGTGATAGAGGGGCTTGTAAACCCGCTTTCCATTCAGGAGTTAGAGGGTGGCCCTTACGCGAAAATGGCTATAATACAACCAGAGTTAATCTGGCAATAAATTTTTTCGGGAAGGAGAGTGTATTCAACACATGAATCTTAGGAAAGAATGCAACTTAATCTTGTGCTGGGTTTCTGAAACCCAGAAACACCAGGTGCCCTGTAGGGACGGCCTGTGGGAGGCAGCATGCCAAACGCTTGATTCAGAGTTGGCTACAGGTGGTGTTGGCCCAGCGCTGCAAGCCATGCCCTGTATTAGCATAATTTTTAAGCAGCTGACATGTATTACCCCTACCTGGAGCCAGACACATGACGCCGTGGGCAGGGACTCCACAGGTTCATCTCACTGACACTTTGGGCCAGGTGGTGGAATTAGCTGCGTTTTACCGATAGGAACAGAAGCTTTGGGAATTGTGCGGCTCACCCAGAGGCACGGAGCTAATAAGGGCAGGTCCTGCTGCCTTGCCGCAACTTCAGGGCCTAGACGCTGTGCCTCCTACCTTCGCTAGAGCCTCAGGGAATTGTACAGGGGAGGAGCACGGCGGTAGCACTTCTCTGAGGGGATACACCTGAAACTGCAGACAACACCAACCCCTGTATCTAGTAGGTCTTCTTTTATATGCCCTGTGGCATCGCTGCATAGTGCCAGAATTCATCTGCCCTTCCATGTTGATCCTCCTTTGTGTCACTACTTTTGTACTAGAGGCATTATTAAATTAAATAAGGGCAACCTGAACACAGCCACGATGATTCACGGCAGTTGATCTGACAACCAAGACAAGGATTATGTGATGAGTGGGTGGGTAGTGTATGCAGTACAGATACGCTGGACGAAGGCCTGATTCACATCCCGGGTGGGATGGAGTGAGATGGGGCATGACTTCAGCGTGCTACTCAGACTAGTACAATTAAAGCTTAGGAATTATTCACTTCTAGATTTTTCTCATTTTATATTTTTGGACTATGGCTGACTGTAACTAAACCTTAATTCTGTATCACCATAAACATTTTAGCTCTGCCACATACCAGTCTGACTTTGGGCAAGTTAGCTCATCTTCCTGAGCCTCATTTTTTTCACCGATGTAAAGCAGATTTTAAAAAAGAAACCATCGATCAGCCATTATAAATAATATATAACAGACTACTCATTTTCATGTTATTGCCCCCAAAAATGAATTATATGAATATTGCCACCTCTGGAAAGAAAATGCATTACCTGTTCACTTCAAAAGCCAGAACAGGAAGAGCACAAAAAGCAGGGATTAACTTTTCTGCCCTCCTAGAATCTTCATCTTAATATTTACTTCTACTTTATTGTTATTTCAGACTCATACACACACTTAGCATGGATCACTGGCTACAGACTTGCATATATTTAACTTAATTACCTTTTGCCTCATGTATCACATTAAAATTTTGCTGCTTAATCAAGGACCTGCATATTATTAATTTTAGAATTCATAGTTCCACAATCCTGTTGGCTTCAAGCATCCTGGGTGAACATGTTCCACTTCCTCCTGCCTCAAAGTCTCCACACCACTGATCTCTTGGCCATGAGTCATGACTGCTTTCTATCTTACCACTTTTCAGGCTTCAGTACCCAGCTGAATGTGATGCTTCTTCCAGGGAGACACTTCGGGCTCCTGTGACATCCTGTACTTGCTCTCTATGCAGAGAGCTGTCTTACTGCCTTCTGAGGGCCCACTTGTTTCTCCTCCATTAAGCTGTGGATGCCACAGGATAAGAGATCTTGGCGATTCACACTTGCATTCTCAGTGCCTAGCACTGTGCCTGGTTTGTTTTTACATGGCGGAGAAGTGCTGGTTGGATTCAGGCCTCCTGTTGGAGAGGAAGGAAATAATGAAGCCTTGAGAAAGGCCACCCTCGATGTAGCTGCAGGCTGCTGTGAGAGTAACGGGGAAGCCAAGGGAGCAACATCATCTCCAATAATAGGGGAGTGAAAGAGCGTATTTTACAACTCTTTTCAGCAGTTTCACCTATGTTATCTAATTTGATCTTCATAAAAGCCTGGAGATAGATATATTGTAGGGATGGAAGCAGAGTTTTGAACAGTTATATGATACACAGTGAGTAAATGACTGGATTCAGACCATAATAGTCTGTCCTCTTTCCCTCGAAGCACACAATGAAGCTCCATTGTCAGCAGAACATCCATTTCATTGTGCCAGGGCTCATTGCTCTGTGGTCTACTGGACAGATCATTGTGGTTTTATTGACTAAGCAATAGTTCTCTACCCAAGGAGATGCATTTCATTTATATAGGTCTAGGTAATGAATGGTCTTTGACTTTAAGGAAGTAGCAGCCAGGGCAGAAAGCAAATCTCACTTTCAAGCACATCTGACAATGCAGTGTGTAGCGGGGCAGGTGGGTGTACCCTCTTCCAATGGGTGATTTCTTCTGGTTTCAGGCCCAGCAAGCTCATCCTAGGAAGGAAAATGCGCTGCGGACCACTGTGCCAGTTCCTGTGGCTTTGGCTGTATCTGTCCTACATTCAGGCTGTGCCCATACAAAAACTCCAGGGTGATGCCGAGATCCTCATCATGACCATTATCTCCAGGATCAATATCATTTCACACATGGTAAGAAGGGCCTGGGGTGAGACAGTAGAACTACAGCTAGCCCTGTGCTGGCTGTGGGCCGCAGCCGGGTAGTCCAAGAAACACTTCTGACACCCTCTGAGTGCTGGGCACCTACTGATTACTGAGAAGGATCGAAAGCACAGGACTTCCATTCTTTCCAGTTGTTTCTTTTGGCCCCTCTGCCTGCTGGGATTCAGGCATGAGAGATTCTAATTCTTAACCACTTTAAGAGCATTTAACTTGGAAATATGCTCCATTAAAAAATCATAGGATTCTCTGATATCACAAAGCTTCCATAGGGAATCCCTGAACTCAGAAGTTGGCTAAGGCATGTGCAGTGACGCAGAAGGGCTGTGGTAACACTGATTCCTCTGTCTCACACAGACCACTGCCTCTTCTCTTCCTTTTTCCCTGCCTCTGCCTCCCTCCCTCTCTTTTCTCTCTGACTTCATACTCTGGTGCTCAGAACCAAAAAGAGCCATGAGGGTCCTTGACCCATTAGCAGGTGACCAGAACCCCAGTCAAATTTCCACTGGGCCTGGCCCATCTCTAGATGTGTGTGTCACTATGGTTTCTAGAGCTGTCACTGCAGCTTCCTCCCAAGACTTCTATCCCTGCTTTCAGGCCACATAGAAAGTGAACTTCCCTACACACATTTGCAACATGGTCACATGGGTAGCTTCCACCCCCACCCTGGTGTTTTCTCTGGGGTCTAATAGGCTAGACTTTTAGCTATTTCCCAGATGGGTCTGTATTTGGAAGTAGGAACACTGAGTGTGAATCTTTCCATGTCTGCTCTCCATCTGTGAGATCTTAAGCAAGTTTGTTAGTGTCTTTAAGCCTTGACCTCTCCCAGGGAGCAATGGAATGCTGGGAACATCACGCAGTCCCCACCAGGTTGTTCTGCAGCACTCAGTGCAGTGTGACCCTGACCACTAAGGAGGGAACTGCATGGGAATTTGACTGGGAGGGAGGAATTTGCGGAGGGTGGAAAGGAATGAGAGTGGTGGGCAGAGGGAGAAACTAAGATGCCTGGGAAGAGATTAGGCTAAGTAGGAAGCCATGGCTGTTTCTTTACAGAGGTGATTAGAAGAAAGGAATGTCCCCACAAGCTTACCCAGGGTGGAAGGTAGAATGGTTTGGGGTAAGCAGGAATCTAGAAGTCCCACTTAGAAACTCAGCAGTCACTTGGACACAAGCAAATGAGAAGGAAAGAGGAAGAAGGCTCTCTTCCACATTCATAGGGTGGTGGAGGATTTTGGTGGCTTTCTGTCCCCACCTGCTGAGCATCTGCTTTTTGTCTTCCTCTGTGCAGCAGCCAGTGCCCTTGAAACACAAGGTCAGCGGTTTCGACTTCATTCCTCTTCACACGGACCTGAGTTTGTCCAAGATAGAAGAGACATTAGCAGTCTATCAGCAGATCATCATCAACCTGTCTTCTCAAAATAAGATGCAAATATCTAATGACCTGGATAATCTCCGGGATCTTATCCGCATGATAGCCTCCTCTAAGGGCTGTCCTCTGCCGTATAACAGGAGTTCAGCGACCCTCCAGAACCTGAGAGGTCCCCTCAGAGACTCGGTCTTCTCCACAGAGGTGGTGGCCCTGAGTAGGCTGCAGAGATTTCTGAAGGAAATGCTGTTGCAGCTGGATGTTTCCCTTATGTGTTGAGTCCTTGAGTCTGCTCTTTCCCCAAGGACCATGTTGAAGGAAGAAATCTTGGCTTCCAGGTGTCTCTGGGAGAAGAGATCCTTGGGTGGACACCCCTTATTCAGAATCTTGTCCATTTCTGTCTTCTAAGACACCATTTCTAAGGCATAAGGCCATCATTTGCTTGATACCAAAAATATATACATGATTCCATGCTCATCATGAAGGGGGCCCATCCAGTATACCGTGTATTGTACTGGTGATTCACACCAAATTCTTTAGCTATCAGTGGAAGTCACCTGTCCCCTTTCAGTTCCATCTTTTTTCTGTGTATCCTTCAGTGTAACCAGGCATGATTTCAGGGACTGGGCAGATAGAGCCTTTGTTCTTGTTAAGGTTCCACCTAAAAATTCTGGGGAGCACCATGAAAGCTGCATTCACATTCAGCTGGAAACTCCCAAGCAACACAAATTGGCAGCACTTGTTCATATATTATGCATCTTATCCTAGATTGGTTTGAAACAAAGTATTGTACCAGCTTTTCCAGGCTTTGGGATTGATCAGGACTGGGGATGCCCCTGGGATATTGGTTTTAATCCCATTGATGGGCCTGGCTAAGGCCCCCCCACTTTGAGTGACTAGAGGATTGATATTTTCTGAGCAAGAACCAATAGGGGTAACTCTTAAATTATTTCTCTAGTGACTGGTTTTGTTTTACTGTGACTAACTTTACAATACAGTTTTCACAATAGTATTACTCTGAGTGAATCCCCAAGGGCTAGGTTATTTTAAAAGGAAGCTGAATTTCATCAAGGGTAATATGTTCCTGTGTGCACAGGTGTTGGAGGGTATGTTGGTGGGAAAGCAAAGGATCTAGAATATATTTTCTGAAAAACATTTGTGTGGTAGGCTTTTTGGAAAGAGGAAAGTCATATCTCACCTTCTACAACACTAGGGTGATTTCCATTAGGAGAATGGAGATGTCTCTCTCAGAGTGTTGTGAGGTTTGCATGATTACCACAGAGGGAAGGCACTGAAGCTGAAGGTCCTTTGCCGGTGTAGTGCTGAGCTCAGGGAGTGAGGGTCCCACACTAGAGATAGTGCTTCCCAGGACAGGGGTCCTTAGTCTATGGCTCGGCAAATGGCTCAGAGTTGATCCCACGTTTGGGCTTATAACACAGCAGTGTCCCTATTTTGGATTTGCATGCAAATTATTTTCCCCATCTGACTGAATCATCTAAGAAAGGCCATATTTCCTACCCATTCTATGGCAAGTTTTATTCCAGTGGAAAAGCAAAATTCTTTAACAGATGGTCCTGCACCCTGGGACTGCTGGGTGAGCTTCAGGACCCTGGACCACGCTGCCAATTTCCTCTTCTGGCTAGAGGTCATTTCAGGAGGCTTGGGTTGGGTTTTTCCACCATCCTCCTTCTGCAATGTCCCCATCACACTGGTAGTAGATCTGTCCAAAGAAACTTGAATCAATGCAATCATACACTTTAAGACTGAGCTCTTGCTTCGTGCTCAGCCCTGACTGGTGCTGTGGGCTAGAGAAGCTCACCAAATAAACATGAGAAGCAGGGACGTGCGTGCCCACAGTAAAGCCCCACTCAGCAGTGTGCCATGGTGGACACCTCACCATTGTGGTGGCAAACAGCTAATAGCACAATGCTATCTCCAGTAGGTGAAAAATGGCATGAGCTGGGAGTGGTGGTGCCCAGAGTTCCATGGGTGACCCTTCTTGCACTCCATAATATTTTTATACTTTTCAGGGCACACCCTGTTGGCGTGGGATAACTAAATCCTAAAAAGTAAGGAAATATAGGTTGAATGCCTCTTATGTGCTTGGAAACTCAAAGTGTTTTTTTATTTTGGATTTTTTTTCCCTCAGATTTTGGAATACTTATGCACGCATAATGAAGTGTTTTGGTGATGTAGCAAAGTATGAACATGAAACTCTATATTTCATAGATACCTTATGCACAGCCCAAAGGTGATTCTATATACTATTTTAATAATTTTGTGCACGAAAGGTTGTTTCATAGCGTGGACTTCTCCACTAATGGTATCATGTTATTTCTCTAAAGTTTCAGATTTAGGAGCATTTTAGAGTTCAGACTTTCTAAAAGGGAATGCTTAGCTTATACCTGAGACCCTAACAGCCAACAGGTAGAAGGACCAGGCTCAGGCCTCCGATCCTCAGAATGTCCCTGAGCAAGAGAATGCTCTCTGGATAGGGAGTGGAGCAGGTGAGGCCATGAGGAGTTTGGAGGTGAAACTCACAGATGGTGAGAGGGGTGAACTGCCCACAGGGAAGAGGCTGGCTTTGCTGGATGCTTGGTGTGTGGAAGAGACAGACGGGAAAGTGTGAGCAGCAAGCTACAGAAAAAGGGAGAGGAAGAAGAGATGGCGGTAAAGAGACATGTCGAAGAGATCTTGAGGTGCAAAGGGGGATATTAGGGTCCCACACCCCAAGTCCTGGAGAAAAGGCCATGGTCAGACCTGCTCTGGAAGGTGTAGCATGATGGATCACTCTCAGAGTGGCACTTCACGAATGCAAATGCTTGTCTTCTTTTTTTTAATGTTTGTTTAAATGAAAATTTCAAATAAATCTACTTTGTCCCTGATCTTTGTTTCCTTCTACTTATTGTGGAGAGGTTTGGGGAAGCTGTTTGTGGGTGACAGGGCAAGGCCTGTAGCGGCCAGGCATCACTGGGGTCAGTGCCACCGGGGCTTGGCCTCAGCCAGCCTCCAGGCATTCAGGCAAAAAGATTACCCCAAAGCTCAGAGCTGGCAAAGGAGCACCTCCTGACCCAAAGGCAGCGTGTTTCTGCAAACCAGATTCAATAAGCACATTATTTAAAACACCAAAATCTGAGATGAATACATACTTCTCAAATGAAGAAACATAAATGGCAAACAAATATATGAAAAAATGTTCAACGTTAGTGGTCATTCAAGAGATGCAAATTACAACACTGAGATTCCATCTCACACAAGAAAGAACGGCTATCATGAAAAGTCCACCTGTAACAAAAGCTGGAGGTGCTGGAGGGAAAAAGGAACACTTCTCCATGGTTGGCGGGAATGGGAGCTGGTACAACCACTGTGGAAATCAGTGTGGAGAGTCCTCAAAGAACTAGGATTGGAGGTTCAACCCAGCTATTCCCCTCTTGGGTATTTTTCCAGAAGAACTGAAAATATCGCACCACAGTAATATATGTGCATCCATGTTTACAGCAGCACAATTTGTCCTAGCTAAATATTGGGAACAATCCAAATGCCCGTCAACTGAGGAATGAACAAAAAAGATGTAGTATTTCTATACAATGGAGCATTACTCAGTTATAAAAAAGATAAACTTGAGGCTTTTATAGGTAAATGGATGCAACTAGAGACCATATCCGTAAGTGAAATAAATTAGACCTTCATGTGTAAACATCATATTGTCTCCCTAAGCCTAAGAACCTAAAAGAGTAAATGAAATCTGAAAGGTACAATAGATACTGTGAAAGGGAAATAAACTGCTCAAAGGGAAGGAATAACTGGGATGAGGGAAAGGAGGAAAGAAAACAAGAAGGAAGGAGAAAAGAAACTTACATGTATATACAGAGAATAGCTTAGATAATTGCACTGTTTATTTCTGCTGCTCTACTGAAAGGGGCAGTTAATGCTTAAATTTTCTCTCTCCTTTTTAATTTTTTATAACATTTTTGACAAATTTTACATGCTTATATCTGGTAGTCTGAAAAACTAATTTGAAGACAATAATATGCAGTATAACAACACTGTTGAATTTCTATTAGTTTGTTTAGTAAAATTCTATATCATTTCTAATGTTTTTGTAATTATTTTTTATTCTCTTTAAAAAAGAAAAAATGCACACACACACAAACACACACACACACACACACACACACACAAAACAAAAAACAAAAAAACAAAAAAAACAAGTGGCCCAATAAACAGAGCTAGCCTGGTGCACAGAGTAGAAAAGATGAACCTGGCTTGCAGCAGATGCAGAGCCCTTGTCCCTACAGTTCACAGTGGCCTAATCTGCTCAACCTAAGTTCTGGGGGTCTTGGGGACTCTGGGGTCAGCTCATCAAAGGCAGTCCTTCTCTTGCTACCAAAAATGTTATTGGGGGCTGCTGGGGAGATGGCTCAGTAGAATAAGCACTTGCCTGGCAAGTACAAGGTTCTGAAGTCAATTCCACGTACCTAAATAAATAAATAAATAAATAAATCTTTGGGCCAGTGAGATGGCTCGGTGGAATAAGCTCTTCCCTGGCAAGCACAAGGGCCTGAGTTCAATCCTCGGTTCCACCAAAAACGAAACAAAAAAAAAAAAAAAATGTTGCTGGGGCCTCTGGGGATTAAATCAGAAAATGAGCCAACAGAGTACTGGCTTTCAGTGAACCGTCCTCCCCTTTCCATTACAATTAGCAGCCGGCTTCAAATGTCATTGGTGCTAGCAAGGAGCACACGGATGCCAGCTTTCCTTCCTAGGAGATGACAGCTGTTGGATCCTGTCCTGCCACCTTAGCTCAGGCTGCTGTAGAAAATTGCCACGGCCTGGGTGGCACAGACAGCAGACATCTACTTCTCACAGTTCTGGAGGCCGGAAGTTGAAGATCAGAACCCAGCACAGTGGGATTCTGGGTAGGCCCCTCCTGTGCAGGACAGACTACAGTCTTCTTACATCCTACCATAAAAGGAAGAGAAAAGGTGGTAATCACATTCACCAGGCTTCATCCACATGAGCTAATCACTCTCAAACACCCCACCTCCTAATCACTTTGGGGGGTTAGAATACCAACATGTATATTTGCAGGCAACACAAATATTCAGTCCATTGCACCTGTGTACCAGCCTGGAGGAGAGGGAAGGGAGCCCCAAGCTCCAAGTAAGGGAAGGCCGTAGAAAAGACCTGTCAGATGTGGCTGTAGCAGCCTCAGCGGGTCACTTGGCTATCCAGGGTAGTGACTGCCTCTGTGCCAGGCGATACTCCTTTAGCTTTGGAGAACATGTATCCAAGCAACAAACCTAGATAAAAAGACAATGCATCAGCCCAAGTGATAAGAAGTCTAGGTCCTGGCTCATGTCTGATGCTGTTTCCTCTCATTTTTCTCTTCCTCAGTAAACCCCTCCCTCCTGTGTGGAGGCCACAGTGGCCTCCAGCATCTCTGTGCTTCCGGGGTCCTTGGTGCCCTGATCATAGGAGAAGAGCATCTCTTCCTCAGGAGTGCAGCAAACATTACAAGTGGGCTCTTGGGCCAGACCTGTGTCACATGACCATCTCTGTTGTCAAAGATGAGGTGAGCCACATGGGCGGAGAATGGGGAGAAAGGACCATGCCACAGATACCCAGAAAATGAAAAAAGAGAAAAATAAAGCAAACTTACAAAAAAAAAAAAAATAGAAAGCATGCCCACCAGAACAAAAACATGTGACATTTATGGCTCTTCTTGGAAAGGCCTTAAGCCCCACCTCTCACTTCTAGGAGTCCCCACTATAGCCCACCTGTATCACTCTGCCCTGGACTAGCCCAGAGAGGCTAGCTATGTATTGAGCCACTGCCATAGGCAGGCTCCTTGGGTCTCTGTCCTCGGCCTAGCAAAGAAGCTGCTGGAGGGAGGATAGGCTCTTATGGGTCTTCAGCCCTGTGAATTCCCAGAGGTGACAGGTCAGGATGGAAAGGAGTATGGATCCCTAAGTAGTAGTAGTGGGGTAGCACTGTCCAGGGGTGAAGCTTTGAGCTAAGTTGTCATTCCCAGGGGCTTAGGAAGGTGCAGTACCACATTCTACTCAAGACTTCTGCCACCTGAGGTAGGTGCCAGGGGATTGGGGACAACATGTCTGCCCGCGAGTGGGTTATCTGGAGCCAGCTGAGTCATCTTGTCTCTGGGCAGTCCCAGCCTGAGCAGGCCAGCTGGGAATGAGAAGGGAAGCCATCCACCGCAGAAGGGAGGCTTGGAGCCTCAGAGCAGAGGCTTGGAGGTGTCTCATCCTACACAGCAGTGAGTGCCCACGTCTGGGTAGAAAGCTCTTCATGCTCCCCTTCAGGTCCTTTTCCCTCCTCAGATATTCTCTTGGTCTCCCCTATGGCTGCAGCTCATGCCTGCTAAACAGCTGGTAGACTCTGCGTACAGCACCAACTTGAGGACAGTCAAATTGTAAAGGCCAGACTGTGCTATGCTAAGTCTAGTGAGAATAAAATCCAGGAGAACCCAGCAGCCCTTTCAGGAGCTCTCACCCAGAAGCTTTCAAGCAGCCAAGAAAGGTGCGCCCCATTCTCCAAAAGGAATTTACAGTCATTCCCTCCAGGCTCTTAACGCTGGGATCTGTCTAGTGATGTTGGAACTACACAAATCCATCTGGAATAAGTCCCTGGGACATTGTCATTACCAGCTCCACAGGTCCTTGCCTTCCCTGGGAGCTTATTCTTTCAGGGGTTGGATGGCAGAACTGAGGATGCAAAGAAAAGGAGCAGAAACCTTACTCAGCCCCAGGTCCCCAGGTCCCAACAAAGAAACTCACAGCTGGTTCTCAGTTTGTCACCAAGCCCCTCAAAGGCTGAGAGATAGCTCAGCAGTCTAAGAACCTGCCAGGCAAGGGCAAGGACCTGGGTCTGTAATCGCAGTACTGGAGAGACAAACAGGAGATCACTAGAAGTCTGAGCTGGGTAAGCGAGACGCTGTACCAAATAAATAATTTTTTTTTAATTTTAGGGAAAGAGCTACAGGGTGTTCAGGGTCTCACTACTAGATCAGACTCATAATGATTCTCCTGTTTACAGCCTCCCAAGTGCTGGGATTACAGTAGTGCACCACCACACCCAGTCTCAATTGCAGTCTCAGCGTACCCTGGGGGCAGGGCCAACATCAGCACGGCAGGTCTGGGGATTGAACCCTTGGCCCCTGTGCCTGCTTGCAGGTGCTTTAATCCACTGAGCTATTTGGCCAGCCCTTATTTAAAAAAAAAAAAAAAAAAAAAATCTCTCAGTAAGTTATGTTGTTATTATTGCCAAGTCAGGGAAGCAAAAGGAATGAGGAAAAAAAAAAAAGAAGAAGAAGAAGAAAAAAAAAAAAAGGAATGAGAATTGCTACATCAGATGCTTTTAGTGCCACAGACCTGAGTTCACTGCAGCTGCACCCATGGGTCCTCTGCCCAGAACTCCCCACAGCATGGCGGTGCTGCCCCACCCGAGGGTGCCTGCCAGCCCACAAGCACAGCTGAAGTGGGGTGCACATTGCGATGAGTAGGGTACAGGGTTCTGTGGGTAAATGCCAGCCTTGTGTTCTCCACAGGGCAGCCACAGGATGCCACCTGCATGGGGGTCAGGCCCACGGGCCCACCCAGGAGCCAAATGAATAAGGCACTTCCCAGGGGCTCTTCCCCTTCTACGGCCCTCTCTCCCGAGTGCCCATTCCTAGTTCCCAGGAACGACTCCATTGTCAAATTCCCACCCTGGGGTGCTTGTGGCAAGCTGTGCTCTTAGAGAAACCAAGGGCCAGGGGCCGAGGAGATGGCTCAGTGGAAGAAATGCTTC